TTGAATGCATGTCTTTTTGGCTTTCATGATATTAAGTAAGTTTTCTTCAAGCAAATCTTTGTCAGTTTTCTTAGTGTTTTTTTTTTTTTTAATTTTTTTTGGCAGGGGTGAGTCTTCCTGTTCTGGAATTCTGTTCATATGTAAGTTATTCCTCTTGATTGTGTCCCACATAATCTTTAGGCTTTCTTCATTTTTTTTTTTTTTTTCATTCTTTTCCTTAATTTTTCCTCGACAGATTAGTATTAAGAGATTTGTTTTCAATTTTGCTAATCTGTCTTCCACTGAGTCAATTCTATACCATTTTTCTTCTAATGTATTATTTATTTCTGAAATTTTCGTATTAATATTCTGGATTTCTATTTGCTTTTTATTGTATGGTTTCTAATTTTCCATTTATTTTGCCAATTTGTTCTTGTATTGTTTTTCTAATCTCTTTAGTATTTTGTCTGTGTTTTCTTTGATCTTTCTCTCGATCCATTTAAGGTACCTAAATATAATTATTTTGAATTCCTCATCAGGTAATTCTAATACCATTTGTCCCAAGAATGTTTTCTGGGTCTGTATTTTAGTCATTTGTTTGAGTTACCTTGTCTTGTTTATTTATGTTAGCTGAAGTGATCTGTTGTCTCTGGACATTGTGCTGCTGTTGTATTTGCTTTTAATTGATGAGCTGGGCAATGAATAAGGAGACTGAAGAAGAGTTAATGCTTTTGAGTTGTGGTGTTGGCAAAGAATACTGAAAATACCATGGACTACCAGAAGAACTAACAGATCTGTCCTGGAAGATGTGCAGCTGGAATGCTCCTTGGAAGCGAGAATGGACAGACTTCATCTCACCAGTTTGGTCATGTTGTCAGAAGGGACCATTCCCTGGAGAAGGATCTCATGCTTGGCAAAGTGGAGGGTCAACAAAAATGGAGAAAGCCTTCAATGAGGTGGATTGACACAGTGGCTGCAACAGTGGGCTCAGGCATAGCAAAGATTGTGAGACTGGCACAAGACCAGGCAGTGTTTTGTTCTGTTGTACATAGGGTCACTATGAGTTGGAGCTGACTCAACAACACCTAACAACAACAATGTTCATATATTTCACCCAGGTTTTTATTTTATTTTGTTTTGATATATCCAGGTGAGTGGGGCAGGAATGCTGCTCTGCTCACTAGTTTGGTAGCACTTGGGTACTTACCACCTGTCTCCTAGTGGGTATGGTAGACAATAGGAATGTATATGGAGTTCTTTACTCACTGTTCGTGTAGAGCAGTTGAAGGTGGGGTAGGCTGTTGGCCACTGCTTGTCATTGATCAAGTGTTGCAGGAGGTTCCCTTTGAGAGGGGAAACAGGAAGTGTTAGTATGGCTGGGTTGTATGGATGCAGTTGCTACCTCCTACCTGGTGGTTAAAAAAAAAAATGGAAAAAAATTGGAGGGGATAAAAAGAAAATGAAAAGTCAAAAACAAAGGAAAGGAAAAAATAAAAGAGAAAAAGAAAGAAAACAAAAACAAGTGAAGTGAAAAAAGAAGGAAAGAAGAAAGCTGGGATGGTAAAGGGTGAAGTGCTCAGCCCGTGGTGGAATACTCAGCTAGCTGTGCAGAAGGTGGGGGGTGAGGTGCCTGGTCACTAGAACACATGCCTCCAAATATAGGGTTGGTGTACATATGGCTCTTGATCTTTGAGAGCATTTCTCAGTGACCTCAGAGTTGGTGAGCATGCCTTGCTTGTTCCACAAAAATGTGCCTTAGGCCATCAAAGGAGTAGATCCAAGAGGGGCCATGAGGCACCACCAGATGGGGCAGGTGTGGCTTTGGGCATGTCACTTGCCATCATATGAGTGGAGGTGGGGTTGGCCACATTTCTGGTCACCAGGAAGGTGTGGGAAGTAAGAGAGAGATCACATCTCTCTGGTTGCTGGCCACTGATGTGAGTGCTGCTGCAATCTGGGCTAATGGAGCTGGTTATCTGGTTCCTACCCTGGGTAGAACACTGTTGGCAATAATTTGAAAATGGTCATGCTGTGGTGAGCCTGTTGACAATTCACTCTCCACATGTATCCTTGATTACTGTTTTCATTCAGTTTCTGTTTCTAATTGGTGTTTAATCTACTTCTTTGTCCTTCCTTTGAAGCTCAGGGTTCCAGGATTTTCATCTGTATTTGTTTCACTTAGTTTCTTGGGTCTATGTTGTAGAGGGTCTTGCCTAGTCTGACATCTTGTCTTCAGTCTACCCATAACTTTTTTTTTTTTTTTTAAAGACAGGCACATTTTTCATTTTATTATAGATTATCTCAAACATACAAAAATGTTTCAGGAATAATATAGCTAAAAATCATGTCTCTACCATCTAGCTCAGTCATATAATGACATTTTTCCATATTTGCTTTTCTGATTTCCCTCTCTCCCTCCTTTTTTTTCCTTACCTTTCATACCTGTCTCCCTTTTTCCAAGCTGTTGCTTATATCATGATTGCTAACATCCTATTGACCAAAGCAAGTCCAAGGGCAATCCTTCACTCTCCCCTAGTTTGTTTTTTCCCTCCCTCCCTTCCAAGTTAAAATCTTACAGATACACTGAAGGCCTCTGTAATCAACCCAGTCCCTTCCTTCTCCTGTTATCCACAGAGATAACAACTGTCCTGAATTTGTTGCTTTAATTGCTATGGCTATCTTTATACAATATATGTATACTATTATGAAGACTATAGATCTATAAACAATATATGCTGTTGATTCATCTGTTTTTCATCTTTATTATATACTTTCTTCTTGAATTTCTCACTGAATATGTGTTAGTACACATCTTGTAATATATTTAAACTGCTATATGTTATTCAATTATATAAAAGATAAAAATTTATCCATTCTCTTGATATATCTTTGTTTCCATTTTTTTTTTTCTCAAAGAATACAGGATTAAACATTATTGTACATGTCTCCTTGTGAGAGTTTCTCCATAGATTATATATCTAGGTTTGACATCAGTGGGTTACATCTTGTCTTTCTCTCTTTTTTTTTTCTTTGAGCTATGATCACATACCATACAATTCACCCTTTTAAAGTGTAGAAGTCAGTGGTTTTTAGTATATTCACAATGTTGTGAACCAATGCCATTATCTAACTCCAGAAAATTTTTATCATTTTAAAACCAAACCAAAACAAAAAACTCTGTGCCTATTAGCAGTCACTCTCCATTCTTCCTCCTCTCCAATCTCTAGCAACCAATAATATACATTGTCTTCTTGGATTGCCCATTGTGAACATTTCATGCAAATGAAATCACATAATACTCAGTCTTTTGTGTCTGGCTTCTTTTACTTATCATAGTATTTTTAAGGTTCACCATATTGTAGCCTCAGTATTTTATTATTTTTATAACATTCATTGTATATGTATACCACATTTTGCTTATCTTTCATCAGTTGATAGACAGTTGAGTTCTTTCTATTTTTGGCTGTTAAGGAATAATGCTGCTATGAATATTAGTGTACTTGTTATTGGGTGTTTTCAATTCTCTTGGGTATAGAATTACTGGGTTGTATGGTAGCTCTGTGTTTAACCTTTAGAGGAACTGTCAGGCTGTTTTCCAAAGTGGCTACACCATTTCACATTTCCACCAACAGTGTATGAGGATTCTAATTTCTACACATCCACCTCAGCACTTTTTATTATTTGTCTTTTTGATTGTATTATCTATTCTGGTTACCTAGTGCCACTCTGACAGGAATATACCACAAATGGGATGGCCTGAGGGAACAGGAGTTTATTCTTACAATTTGAAGGTGTTAAGTCCGAGTTCAAAGTGCCAGGATTGGTAGAGCATGGCAGGCTGCTGAACAACAACTCGGCTACATGCAAGGTTCAAATGTGCCATAAGCTAGAGACCATTCCCAAAGCTGCTGCTTATATACAGGAAACAGACCACATCCCTAAAGCAGCTACTCAGCTGCTTGTGGTAGGATCTCACCATAGATTTGATTGCCAGTCTCATCATGGGGAATAACTACCACCAGCTGCCCAGCCAGTCAACCAGGCCCAACCAAGCTGACATATAACTTGAACCACCACAGCATCTTTGTGAAAGTAAAGTGGTATCTAATTGTGGTTTTGATTTGCATTTCCCTTATGATGAATGATGTTGAGCATCTTTTCATGTGCTATTGGCCATTTGTATATCTTCTTTGGAGAAATTTACATGCAATCTCTTCCCCATTTTTGAAGTGGCTATTTCTTTTTTTTTTTTTTTGAGTTTTAGTAGTTCTTTATATTTTCTGGACACTTTGTCAGATATATAATTTGCAAATATTTTTCCAATTCAGTGGGGCTGTCTTTTCACTTTCTTCATAGTGTCCTTTGAAGCACAGAGTTTTAAAAATTTACAAGAAGTCCAATTTTTATGTTTTTTTTTTCTGTTCCTTGTTCTTTGAATGTCATATAAAAAAATACTGCTTAACTAAAGTTGCAAAGATTTACATTTATGTTTTCTTCTAATAGTTTATAGTTTTACCTTTTATGTTTAGGTCTTTGATACATTATGAGTTAGTATTTGTCTATGGTGTGAGGTAGGGATCCAACTTCATTCTTTTGCATGTGAATATCCACTTCCAGTGCTATGATTTTAAGATATACTTTCCCTTGAATTATCTTGGCATTCTTGTTGAAACATGATAAATATGGATTTATTTCTAGACTCTCCATTCTGTTCAATTGATCTATATAACTATCTTTATATCAATATCATGCAGTCTTGACTAAGGTAACTTTGTAGTTAGTTTGGAAATCAGAGAATGTGAATCCTTCAACTTTATGATTGTTTTTCAAGAATATTTTGAGTACTTCACAATTCCATATGAAGTTTGGAATCAGCCTGTCAGTTTCTGCAAAAAAGGAAGGTGGGATTTGATAGGGATTGTGTTTGAATCTGAAGATCATTTTGGGGAATATTGTTATCTTAAAAATATTAATTTATTCAGTCCATGAATATTATATATCTTTTGATTTATTTAGATCTTCTTTAGTTTCTCTCAAAGATATTTTGTAAGTATAGAAGTCCTGTACTTATTTTGGTACATTTTTTTACCAATTATTTTATTCTTTTTTATACAATCATAGAGTTGTTTTCTTAGTGTCATCAACACATTGTTCTCTTGTGTATAGAAATACAATAGATTTTATATATAACTCTTGTATCCTGTAATCTTGCTGACCATACTTATTATTTTCCAAACTGGATACCAATTATTTCATTTTCTTACCTAATTAACCTGGCTAGAACCTCCTGTACAATGTTGCATAGAAGTGGTTAAAAGGAACATCCTTGTCTTGTTTTGATTTTTAGTCTTTCATCATTAAATATTATGTTTGCCATAGGTTTTTGTAGATTCTCTTTAATAGATTGAGGAAGTTACCATAT